AAAGCTTTAGCAGGCGGCACCGCGAAACAGTGTTGGCGGAGATGACAGAGCGAAGCGCTGGAAGGCTAAAGCACCATAGACCATCAGCCGAGCCGACTTACTGTAATTGCCGTTTTACGGTAGTGCCGGTGCGTGAAATTTTCAACTATTTTTCAACGTTTCAACTATTTATGCACAGACTAAAGCACAAAGCAGTGAAAATCATTAACAGGTGAAATAACTGCACAAAACGCATAATCGCACCAGCTAGTCTGGTGCGCGTTGCTATTTTCGGTTATTATGCGTTTGTGCTGTGTAACAGCAGTACAAAACGCAAATTGTCACAGGGTTGTCTGTGCATGTGTTTTTGTATATACGTGTGTATGTGTGTCCGCAGCAACTTGTGTGCAGCTTTCAACTTCGGAATCGCAGAAGCTAGGAGGTAAATATTTAGGAGAATATCCCCCAGCCAAGTGTGACTCCGCACATTTAAATTCAGCCTCCCGTACTCGCCAGTAACACGTACGGCCCCGTAAATGTTTGGGCGGGTAGAATTATTATCACCGAAACCACGGAAGGTAGAAGGCTGAAATTTTGTGGGCATGTCCCCTACCCACATGCAACCCAGAAAATTTAAATTCAGCCTTCCCTTGCCTGCAGGTAAAATGTACGGCCATGTGAAAGTTATGGCGGGCAAATTATTAGGTCGGGACCCACTGATTCTGGGAAGCTGAAATTTTAGGGTAATAACCTCTTGCCCACGTACGATCTCGCAAATTTAAATTCAGCATTCCCGCGCGCCCAATTATCATTTACAGCCCTGCGGAATTTTCGGTGGGGAAAATTATTATCTCGCCGACAGTGAATGTTGCGAATCTGAAAGTTTAAGCCGATGCCCCCTATCAACGTGCGACCCCGATAAATTTGGTTTCAGCCTTCACGAGCCCCTGAGTACCACGTACAGTCTCGTGAAAGTCTTTGCAAGGAAATGGTCTCGCTAACTGCAAAAGCCAGGAAGCTGAAATTTTAGCGTGGCATACCCTGCTCACATGCAGCTCCGCAAATTTTCAACGCCCCCGTGGAAGTTCTGACGGAAAAAATCATTATCTCGGAAGCCAAAAGAGTTAGGAGGCTCAAAATTCCAGGAGAATGTTTCCTTCCTAAGAAGGGGCTTCAAAATCTCGAATTCATTTCCTGGATATGCCGGTATCTCACGTACGACCACCTGAAAGTTTCGTCTCAAAGATCATTCGGAAGCCAGAAAATTAGGAGATTCAAATTTTTGAACGATATTCACCCTTCGAGGTTTCAAATTCAGCTTTCACGTCCCGGTGCGTGAAATTTTTAACTATTTTTCAGCGTTCCAACTACTTTTGTCCAGACTAAAGCACAAAGCGGTGAAAATCATTAGCGGACAATCGTTCGGTGGACGGCATTGCACAAAACGCATGGTCGCACCGTCTGCTCTGGCGCGTGCTGCTATTTATTATTTTAAAACAGGGCCAAAACACTTCGTGATTTCCCTAATTTAAAACCAGTGCCCTCAGTTTTCTGTGTACCAAACATCTGCTATACAGAACCTCCATGAATCCGTTTTGAGCAACCATAAATTTTCACGGCGGACAGATATCAAAAAGAAACTGATTAGTCTAAAGTGCTTTCTGCCTTATTTGAAAAGCCATCTTATTCATTTCTTACTATTTTTCTTTTTGTTTACAAAACTGAAAGAAGTGTTGGATTCTTGCTACGAATATGACAGGGACTGAAATCTGTGATCGGGATTACTTTCTCACCTTTTAGGAAATCGATAAAAGCAGCTTTTTCGCAGATGGATGTCAGAGGAACAAAAGTGGTAGCTGAGCGGGTGCAGGAAAGATAGAATGCTGAATGCTCTTGGCATAACTGCATTAGGCAGATGACTGCATCTCAACAACATCCAAATTTCACACAAACGATCAGACGATCCTAGTCACATGCAACTCGGCTAGTTCGGCACACGGAATTATGTATTTTAATTTAAGTTGGCCAGATGATCCCCGTTTCGCCAGGAAAGGTTAAATGGCGCCAAAACAGGCCCAGAATTCGCCAAAAAAATCCCCTTGCTCCATTTAACAGGCACACTCAAGCGCTTCCTTGAAAAATCAGCACAATCCTGCAATTATAAACTGTTAATTTTTGCACTGACTAGCGGGAACCTAGGTGGCCAATTAC